GCTAAAGAAATATTGGTAGCTTGATGGGCAATTGAATTGTACAAAACAATACTGCTAGTGAGCTGCCTTGCCTGCCAGCTAGCTTTTGAACATAATTCAAGGTGCTAGTTCTCACTTTTAAAAGCCTTTGTGGCATAGAACCTGGTTCCCTGAGGGACCATTCTTCTTCCAATGTTAGCTGGCTGGTACCTTTGGGTTGAGCATTACCTGGTACCTTCTATTAAATATCTCATATTACAGCACCTACAAAGTGTACATTCCCTGTCATGGCCCATACCTATCTGACTTCTCCCCAAAGATACAAATGGCACACCCTGGTGCTCTAAAAAAAGCCCTTAAAAGCTAGCTTTGGTACTAGGCCTGGGTTATTACTTATATAAATAATAATAAAAATTATGTATGTATGTAATATATACCATAAGGAAAGGGGGCTGTGGTAGTATTTTCATAATTGATTTTTAGTCCAGGTTGTCTAGTTTTGTCTTTAACTGTTTTAATTTAGCATTATGTTCTCGTAAGCTGCCTCGCCAACTCTTAACGAAGGCTCTGGCTCTATTAAATGATGATCATTTGGGGAAAACGTATATCCTCAACTGGAAAGCACACTTTTAATAGATGCTATTTCCGTCTGGCATTTCCTACATCTAATTTTCCACAGCAAAAACGTAACGAATTTTTTTTTTTTTAAAGAAAATAGAAGGAAGAGGGGGGGCGTTTAGACAAGAGGGCCCCCTGGCTCCTCCTTACCCTGTAATCCCGGGCCGCCCTCTCGACGTGGAAGATGGTGTGAGCGCGGTGCTCCTGGGATCGGTCGCAGTGTGCGCAGATGGGCGTCTGGTCCTCCTCGCAGAAGAACTGCAGCACGTCCTGGTGGATCTCGCACAGCCTCTCCCCGTTCCCGTCTCCAGCCCCTCCGAGGGCCACGGGCGCCCTTCTCCCGGTAGGGGAGGCGACGGGCAAGGGGGCCGAGGGCGGCGTGGACGGGGCGGCCGGGGACGGCGCGGGAAGCAGCGGAGGGGTGGCCGGTGGCGGCGTTGGGGACGGAGGCGGCGGGGTGGCGGGCGTTGAAACCACGGGCGCCGGAGGGACGATTGTCGGGGTGGTCACCACCGGCGCCGGCGGCGCCACTGGTGTTACTGCTGGGCTCGCCGGGGGGACTAGTGTGGCTGTGGCTGTTGCCGCCGCAGCCGCCGCCGCAGCCGCCGCCGGTCCGGTGAAGGAATCGAGCCTCTGCCGCTTGGGCCTCTCCAGCACCAGGTTGGCCAGCAGCGACGGCGGCTTGATGGGCCGGAGGTTCCTCTTGCGGGCGCTGGCGCCGCACTCCAGGCAGGAGATATTGATCTTGGGCTCGCCCAGGCGCTGCCCGATGCAGGCGGTGCAGAAGTTGTGCCCGCAGGGAAGGCACACCGGATCCGGGCAGTAGACGCGGCACAAGGAGCACCAGGTCTCGCTCGGGTAACGCGGGCCGGCGGGGATCTCGGCGGGCGTCGTGCCGGGCGGCGGAGAGTCGGGTGGCTCCGGAGGAGAGAGCAGGCATGGCGGGCCGGGCTGCAGCAGCGACGGCGGGATCGGGCCTCCGATGCCCAGGCCCGGGTGCTGCGCGCCTCGCAGGCGGCTCCGGAGAAGCCTCTGCTGCAAGAGCTGCTCCGCCGTCATCCCTCCCAGGCCTCCGCTCATGGTGGCTGCCTGCCTGCCCGCCCACCGACCGCGCACGATGCGCTCTCTTTTCGCCAAGACGGCGCGAGGCCCTTCCGGCGGGAGCTCCGATTGGCCGAGCTGCCTCGCGGAAGGGGCGCGGCCGCGGCGACGTCGAGGTAGTGAGTCGGCGACGGGAGACGTTGGCGCGGTAACGCTTCGCGCGCCGGAAGGGACAGCCGAAAGAACAGGAAGTCCCTTCTTGTTCTCTATGGAGATTCTCAGTCATCCAAGTCATGGTTGTCCCAAAGGTGTTTTTTTTTCCCCCAGGAGGCAAGTGGACCTTGTTTTTTTTTTCTTTGTAGACGTTTCGCCTCTCATCCAATAACCTTCTTCAGCTCGGACTGGATGGTGTGGAAATGGAAAGATTTATATTCCTTGCAGACAGCTGGTCATTTGCATTGAAAGGGTCATTGAAGCACTTGGAGGTTTATTTCTGTGTCCCTTCGAATGGTGTGCAAATATGAACGGATTCCCAGAGGGAAAAAAATGCAGACTTCAGGAACCAGGAGCACCACTCAGGTGACCCTGAGGACACAGATAAACGTCCAAGTACCTCACGACTCTCTAAAAGGAGGCAAATGACCAGCTGTCTGCAAGGAATATAAATCCTTCCATTCCCCACTATCCAGTCGGAGCTGAAGAAGCTTCTTGGATGAGAAGTGAAATGTCTTCAAAGAAAAAACAACAGTTCAGTTGCCTCCTGAAAAAGCACTTTTAGGTCCCCTCTTGTTGGAACTCATTTCCTGTTACTTCAAGTCGCACTGGCTCTGGTGAAAGGAATTGTAGTGCGGCCCACTGGAAATTGTGTTCCCCAAACTAACACTAATGAGGTGATTGTTCACTTAGTTGAATCACAAACGAACTAGAGTTTCAATAAGGGAATATTTTCAGCTCAGGATTGAAATGAGGGATCGTGGTATTCTCTCCGCTTGTTTTCTTGAAAACATTTCATTATCCAAACTTAGGTAATAAGGTTTTACTCTTAAGTTTGTAATCCAGTGGCTTGCACTGTCATAGTTTAGTGCATTGTGCAGCATTAAGAGCACAAATATTTTGAAAACTGACAGCTTAAAATTCAAACACAATTCACTTTTTTTTAAATAAATCATGAAGCAAATGGAAGAACGGCATTACTGTGGTGGAATATAAATGTAATTAAGCCAGATATATAGTACTGAACTTAGCTCAACTTTTATTCATAAAAGAATGATCCTGCTTCCTTGATGACTTTTCTGCCTACAGAGCCAACAAAAAGAAAATAAATATTACAGAAGTTTTGGATGTTCTTTTCAGGGCAAAATCCTGCAGTAGAAAGCTGGGTGGCACTTATGAACTTACTTTTCAGATGTATCAATTCAAGGGAAGTGACTGGTATGGTTCCCACATTCTGACATACTGTAATTTCTAGTTTGGGTCCAGAGATATATGTGAACCCAGCAAGTCAATTGTGACTTAAAATCCTCCTTATGCAACCATACTATAATGGAATGTTAAAAATGTTTAATACAGGGATCAGCAAATTTCATGGACCTCCTGAAATCTATCCATAGACTACAAAGACATCTGTGGAATCCTATTTAAGAACACCTATCTTTGATCCTTGCCCTCCTGAATTCTAATCTTAGTTCCAAACCAGTTAAGGCATCCTTAATATTATTAATCCATAGATGTACAAGAATGTTCATTTAAATAGATTTTAATGCAAAGACACAACTTTTTCTGAATTGAATGTACAAAATCCTTAATAAAGGAATGACAAGTTACAAAATGCAAGATTAGTCAATATAGATGCAATCTAGAAATTATTTACAATACTGCCAAATATAATTTTTATCCATCAGTCCAAAAATATTTGTCAAATATTTGTCAAAATAAAAGTCATTCCCATGTATTTGCCAATATAGCAAATTTTGATAAGTTACAACTGCAAACTATACCTTATGTTTTGTCCACTTCTAGTCAACAGATATAAACTGCCATGCCTTTCTCATAGCTAGTCATAAAATTATATCAAATTATTGAGGTGAGAGCTACTTAAATAGGTTGATGAAGATTCTCAGTCATCCAGGTAAAGTTGTTTGAAAGTTGAGTTATGGCAACTGGATTTTACCTTGCTGATTCAAAATGTTTCCCTGCTTATCCAAGTAACTCATTCAATCTGAGCAAATTGGTTATGGGGATCCCATATATGTCATCCAGGGAGGTTTCATTCCTCACCAAATCTGGATAGACAAGAGAGTCATTGGTATCTAAATATTCCTAAATCCTTTACCTCAGATGAGTCATTAAATATGCCTCCCTAATGAACCTGTGTAGTGGTTTTAATTTTCTTGGGGACTAATGAAAGAGCAGCATAAAATATGGGGAAAGGTTATGTCATACCTCTGCTGAGAAAAGCGTTTTTCACTTTGTCATAAATGGATTCCTTCACTCCTCTCATTTTCCTTGTCTAAAATGTCAACATTATTGTCCTCAAAAGAGTGTCTTTTTTTCTTTTCTTTTCAATGAAGGTATACTGTTGATTCTGGTCCTGTGGTGTTGCTTCTTCTGTGTTGGGCCATCCTTTTAAAAAGCTGCTTGTTTCTAGAGCACTGAACATCCTTCGCTGCCCTGGACTGCATACAATAAATTACTCTTACGTTTTGGTGCCCAATCTTTAGGACGGACAAACCTCTGTTTCAGTGTGTTGGTGGGTTTGAAGAATACAAGTATATGATGTTTTTCAAATATCCATTTTAGCTATCCACCATGTAAGGAATAACCGGATTCTTCCACTGAAGATGCTGATTTCATAAAGGTTTAATTTGGATACCCACAGACCTTAAGAGGTGTCATCAGGTGCCTATTTTCTTTCTTTTGGGCATCCTTGACAGCAGGGATGTTTCTGCCCTGTAATGTAGTGTCCTTATGACTCCTAGTTTGTATTGAAGTGGGTGGTGGGAGTCAAACAGCAGGTATTGGTCTGTGTATGTGTATATGGGGTATGTGTGTGTCCTGTAGATTTCTATTTCAGAGGGTGTATTTTCCTTTTTACATGACTGTAAAAAAAACGATGACTATGTCTTTGTTTTGACTGGTCATTAAAGATTTTTCAGGGTCTCTTAGGGTATTTTTTTGTGGTTGTTGCAAATGTAACGGTGTTTAGTACTGCATCTCCCCGAGCTGGCTTCGGCATCATCATCCAAAAACGCAGTCTCCTCCATTTCCCATGACTTCCAACCTGCAATAGAAGCAGAAATTAGGCACTTGGAAATATCCCCCACACTGCAATACCAAAGAGGTCCAGAGTTTACAGTTCATCTAGCTGAGCCTTGCCTTCTCAAAGGTGATTCTGCAGATTGTTCCCCAATTCATCTATGGGGTAGTATTGACTGTACAGTACTGCTGTGTCCCAGGAGCTCTACATTCTGGACTAATTCTGAGCAGGCTATTTGTACAGGCAGTCCACAATTAGGACTGGAATTTCCATTGCTTAAGCAAAGCAGTTGTTAACTGAGTTGTGCCCAATTTTATAACTTTTTTTTTTTGCTTTGCTATAGTTAAGCGAGTCACTGCAGTTGTTGATTGAATCAAATGATTTTAAGCAGATCCAGCTTTCCCTGAAGTTGCTTCTTGGGAAGGTCACAAAAGTGGCAAACTCGACCCCAGTATGCTGCAACCATTCTAACTGTTTTGCTAGCAAACTAGGCACCCCAGGATGACATGGAGCCCATCAATTGATTTATTTGATTGTTATCAACTGGGAGGGGGGTGTTATTGGGTTTAGTATTGTTCTTTTATTTCTATAAGCTACCCAAAGTCAGTATGAGTGAATTGGGTGGCCATATAAATTTTGCTAACAAATAAATATGAGCTACTTGACCAAATTTTGATCATGTGATCATGGGGATACTAATGATGATTGTAATTGTGTGGATCAATCACAAGTCTTTTTTACCAGTGCTATTGTAACTTTTAAATGTTTGCTAAATGAATGGCTGTAAATCGAGGACTACCCATAATGCATTTCAAGTTTCATTAGTAAGGCCAAATCTTTTTAGAGGGCAACTCCTGAATACTGGAAGCCAGCAGGTTCTTTCTAGGATCAGTCCTGAGCTGCATGGAGCCTCAGTGAAGGCATTTAACTTTTGGCTCTTGCCAACTGAAAAGGAAAGAGGAAGATTCACATTGAATTTTCTCCATCTAGCCACTTCAAGATTGATTTGATTTTTTCTTGAGGCCAAGCCAAAAGACATTGTCTCTTGTGAACATCTTCATAAAAGCCTTTAAAAAAACAAACAAAATTGTACACGTTGGAAATTTGCACTGCTAGACCTCCAGCTGAACTTATACATAGGATAAAGAAACTAAGGTTATCTTTTGAGCAGTAATTAACCCTAATAAAACATACCTAGTAGTTCTTTGGTGAGCAGCAAAATGGTAGGCACTAGTTAACTTTTAAAAAATAAAATTTAAACCTTTTGCAGAAGGGAAAACTCTGATTTTCCTAGAATGGATCTTGGCAATGTCTACAGTTTTACTACTGGCTTTCTGATTTGGGGATAGTTATCAGAGGTTTCCAAGTTTCTAAGCAGGAAAAAATGAAAGAAGCAGATGACAGCTGTTGTAGAGCGGCGGAATAACCTGAGGCGAACATGGAGCGAACTTCAGCTTTACTTTATTGTAACAATAAAGGGTTGCCGCGGCTGCCGCGCTAACAAGGCAGCCAGCTGGTGGACAACAGCTGATGCTGTTTGATAGCTCCCTTTTATAGCCAGCTGTCAAACGGCATCAGCCAATAGGAACGGTCCGTGTTCCCGCTGGAAACACGGACCGGAGTGAAGACTTCAGCTCAGTCTTTTCCGAACACCACACTCCTTCCCCCCAGAACGGAACATGCGTATTCCTTCAGATAACCCGGGCACTTGCACAGGCGACCAGATCTTCTAGGTTCTGACGAAGCTGCTGCTGGAAGGAACTTTTCTGCTTGTTGGACAACTTCAGGCGTCTCGGCTTCAGGTGTCTCTGGGTGAGGGACAGCTGGCTGCTCAGGTAGGCTTGCGTTCCTGTCAG